GCTCCTGCTCCTGCTCCTCCTCCTGCTCGTCGTCCTCCTCCCCCTCCTCCTCCTCCTCCTCCTCCGTCCTCCTCCTCCTCCTCCTCCTCCTCCTCCTCCCCTCCTCGCTCCTCCTCCTCCCTCCTCCTCCTCCTCCTCCTCCTCCTCCCGGGTTTCCTCCTCCTCGTTCTCCTCCTCGTTCCTCCTCCTCGTTCCTCCTCCTCCTCCTCCTCCTCCTCCTCGTTCCTCCTCGTTCCTCCTCCTCCTCCTCCTCCTCGCCCCCTGTCTCTGGCGCAAGGTGTCCCCAGTTTATCGCGGCCTCAGCTATCCTGAGCCATCCTGGAGGCCAGCTTGGGCTATCTCGGGCCCTCTTGGAGCCACCGGCGTTTTCGAAGAAAACGCCAAGGTGCAACGACTAGAAGATGGCGCAAGAGCGCCTCCCGCTCCCCGAATTTGAAGGTTCATATAAAGGAGCAAGCCCCGGCTTGTAAATGTGGGCGTTTTTTTTTCCAAACGACGCGCACTCCCCCGCGTCGACCACCCCGAACTTTGAACTTGGGGCCGGGGGGTGCACGCTTCAGCATGCATCAGAGATGGGCGCTGTGTTCGAAAACCACGGCGACTTGAGCTAATTTTTGGGCCCTTCCGTGGCCCACGGGACGCCCCGTCCTGCTCTGAACCACCTCCTGGCCCCAGGAGAGGGCTGGCGGGAGTCGCAGGCGACTTCTCCCCCCCGAATCCCCGAGATCCGCCCGTAGAATCAGGCCGCGTAGAAAACAAAAAAAAAAAAAAAAAGCCGGGGGAGCCTCGCGGGGGGTGCTCCGATGTGCTCCAGACGCCGTCGGCGTCTCCCCTGGGGAAGTTGGGGCCCCCGCGGGCCAGGGCCACCTCTGGCAAGATTCGGTCGAACTGCCGGCCGAGCGCGCGCGCGCTCGAGGAATGCTGGGCTGACCCACGCGCCGGCACCACGCGGCGACTGCCCTCTTCCTCGGTCCTCCCTCGCTCCCTCGTCTTGGGCGGCCCGAATACCGACGAAGACCATTCGCGGCCCGCGGCCACGCTCGATGGCCCGCGGGCCTCGGCGCCCGAAGACCGACGAAGGCCTCGGTCTTCCTCCTCCTCCTCCTCCTCGCGGCCCGCTGCCACGCTCGGCGCCCGCGGGCCGCGCTCCATGCCACGCGGCCGACGGGCGGCCCTCGACAGCTGCCGCGGTGCCTGGGGGGCGTCGGGGCCCCAAAGCGCCAGAATCCCACAAGGCTTTTGGTCGCGAGTGAATGAGGGCGCTTCCTCTGCCACCCCTCTCTTAAAATGCAAAGGATCCTCGCCCCTAGCCCCTTACGGCGCAGAGGATCTCGTTATGAAAACCCAAAGGTGATCCTTTGAACTATGCCCGTGGCCTCGAGGCCGCGATTCCTGGAAAAATGATATCGGCCGCAATTCCGCAACATGCGTGCGAATCCTTGCCCAATTCAACGCATCACCCCACCAACTCTTCAGGGCGTGGGCGACTTTGGGGGGGTCCTCTTTTTCAGCCCCCCGTTTTCCGCTTCGGGGAGGAGTCCATCACTGCTCCTCATCAATATACACCCTGTCCCCCACCCGGCTGGCGAGAAATCCAAAACAATACGGCCCCCCCGCCCCCCCCCCTGCCATCCCTTCAAGAGAACAACGTTGAGTGCACAGGGCGGCAAGCACGTGGGGCGCCTGTTCATGACAAAAACAGGTGCCTCACGTTCAGATTGTGAGCGTTTGTGTATACAGCGTTTATTGTGAAAACTTTCTACACCAACGCAATGGGCGATATTTGGAGCACCCGGGAAGGCGACGCAAGACAGCGTCGGGCCACGCGCGTCGCACACCTGCGCAACAGATAATGGGGGACGAACTGGAGGAGGAGGAGGAGGAGGAGGAGGAGGAAGAAGCGGAGGTGGGAGGGATCACGAAGGAATCGTTAATATCAAACCCAAGAACCGTCAGAACCGACGACCTGGACTCACCAGGAAAAAATTGAAGGGGGGGTCGCAAAACTGACGGAAACGCCTCCCTCACCACCAACAGAGGGTCACAAAAGACTGACGACCACCACCTGGGGAACTGCTGGGATATTGCAGCGAAGAGGAGGGGTTGGGAATTCTGACGACGGCGCGGCCGCCCGACCCGTGAGTCCCCTTTGTCGAAAATGAACCGACGACGGCGCGGCCAGAAAACCCCAAAGTCGTTTTATATTGGAGTCGCGCTAGTGATGGGGAGGGCAAGGAGGATGGAAAACGAAGGGCAATAACTACTGGTGAGGATAACGACGCCGTGCGCTACATCTGCTCGATTCGCCCGTGCTGCCGCACCGGACAGACACCTGCGGATGGGGGGATGAATGGAAGACAGCGCAATGCGCTACGTAACGCTCCAGCGTCATGCGCTTTTCTGTGATGCGACAGCGCCGCGCACTGCATGACGGGGCAGCGCCACGCGCCATGCGGGCGCGTCCCCTTGCACACTTGACTGGTAGCCGCCCGTTGTAAACATCGCCGACGGCGCCTCCAAAGTCGCAGCCAATGCGAACGCTCGCCCACATCCCGTTTGCGGCTCTCCTCCCTTCAGTTGCGCAGGAACTTGGCAAGGCCTAGCGCGTGTGCCATCTTCACGGACTCCTCCCTGCAAGCCTATTGGACCTCCCAGGAACCCGCGAAAAAGGCGACACGTGCACAGTTCGCAGCCACCCAAGGAGCCGCGAGGTCTCGAGTGGGTGTGCGTACGAGTCAATTCCGCTGGACCTCCCAGGAGACACGACAACTACAATATTTGCACGATCCGCAGCCACCCAGCCAGGGAGCCGCGAGGTCCAGTGTGGGTGCGCGTACAGCTCCACTCCGCTGGACCTCAAAAAAAACCACACGACATTGGCGACAATTGCGCAGTTCGCAGCCACCCAGGGAGCCGCGAGGTCCCGTCTGGACGCACGTACAACTCGACTCCGCTGGACCTCGAAGGCGCCCATGACATTGGCGACAATTGCGCAGTTCGCAGCCACCCAAGGAGCTGCGAGGTACGTATGGACGCGTGTGCATCTCCACTCCGCCAGACTTCCCAAGAGCCCACGAACGTGGCGACAATTGCGCAGTTCGCAACCACCCAAGGCGCCACGAGATCCCGCCTGGACGCGCGTGCAACTCCACCCTGCCGGACCTCCGAGGTGGCCACGAAAATTACGATAATTTCGCAATTTGCAGCCACCAAGGGAGCCGCGAGGTACCGTTTGGACGCGCGTACAGCTCCACTCCGCTGGACCTCCCAGAAGCACACGAACGTGGCGACAACTGCGTAAATCGCAGCCACCCAAGGAGCCGCGAGGTCTCGTCCAGATGCGCGTGTAGCTCCATTCAGTTGGATCTCCCAGGAAGCCGCGAAAACGGCTGCCGTTGCGCACTTCGCGGCCACCAAGGGAGCCACGAGGTCTCGTCTAGATGCGCGTGCAGCCCACCCCGCTGGACCTCCCAGGAGCCCACGAGCATGGCATCAATTGTGCAGTCTGCGGCCACCCAGGGAGCTGCGAGGTACGTCTGGACGCGCGTACATTTCCACTCCGCCAGACCTCCCAGGAGCCCACGAACGTGGCGACAATTGCGCAGTCCGAAGCCACCCAGGGAGCCACGAGATCCCGTCTGGACGCGCGTGCATCTCCACCCCGCCAGACTTCCGAGGTGCCCCCGAAATAGGCGTTCACTGCGCAATTCGCAGCCACCACGGGAGCCACGAGGTACCGTCTGGGTGCGCATGCAACTCCCCCCCGCTGGACCTCCCAGGAGCCCACGGAAGTGGCGACAATTGCGCAAATCGTCTCGTCTGGCTGCGCGTGTAGCTCCATTCAGTTGGACCTCCCAGGCAGCAAGCAAACGGCAACAATTGCGCAATTCGCAACCACCCAGGGAGCCGCGAGGTTCCGTCTGGATGCGCGTGTAACTCCTCTCCGCTGGACCTCCCAGGACCTCGCGAAAGTGGCGACATTAGCACAGTTGGCAGCCCCCGGGGGAGCGAAGAGGAGGAGGAGAAGGAAGAAATCATGGGAGACCAGTGCTCTATTAATCTAAAACGAGATGCCAACACATGAGGGTTGGGAACCATACAACCTGCACTTCGCGGTTCATTCTGGACCATGCGCGGGCACCCCGCGATCACGTTGCACTGGCTGTTGGAAGGACGGCGGGGGCGCTGGCACACTGCCTGCCGTGTGCAGAACTCACCAGACATCGCGATGGCCACCCCACTGCGATGAAAGGGTGGTTTTCGACGAGGACGGAAGGAACGATCTGGCGCGCCTCACCCCAACGTCGCGCGCCTGGGGCCTGTATTGCTGTATTGGTCGCTAGCAACTGCCCATCCAAAGACGACCGCTGAATCTGCAGAGGCGCGGGTGCTGCTTATAGGTTCGGAAAACGAGCGAACGTGAGCCAAACAGCTTGCGCCTGGGAGACGTGTCTAGGCCCCTCCCCGGACACAGGACCTTGGACCTAGACGGGGGGGTCGCGACCCTTTGGGGCGTCCCGGAGGGCTTCGGCGAGAATGCACATAATATTGAGGTTCCTAAGGTTATGTGCCGAGGTTTGGCTCTTAGGTGGGGGGGGGTTCTTCTTGCCCTCCTTCTCCTGTTCCTGCTCCTCCTCCTCCTCCTCCTCTTCATCATCCGCCTATTCCTCCTCATCCCTTCTCCTCGCCCCCCTCCCTCTCCTCCCCCTCCTACTCCTCCTTCTCCTCCGATTCCTCCTCCATCCCCTCCATATCGGGGAATGACGGCTTCCCCAACCCCTTATTTCACTGCATGCTGCCCCACATCCCCGATCAAGGCAACTCGCCTGGGCATCGTTTCCAGATGGGTTGGTGGGCTTACTTTTTTTTGATTGACGGCTCACAAGGACAGATCCAGGAAGCGGGACGGGCTCGGCTGGGGCGCAAGGCGAGATAATTGGCAACGACGGCACGTAGGCCGACGTCGCAAGTGCACGTGCAAGAGGCAATATGCCCCCCAG